ATGCATGAAAACCTTTTCTGGCTTTTCAACTTTTTTTATCGGGCAGTATAAGAAGGTAACTTTTTGTTGTTTTTAATCTTATTTAACTGACATGCTAACTTGTTTATGTGTTAGTTTTAAAAATGCAACGTTTTTTTATGTTTATAACTATTAGCAGCTTACTGAAACACTATCTGAATTTATATAGCTACAAAACGAATATTTTTCTGAATGATTCAACACTTCGACGCCCTACTAATAATGCCGCTTAGCGCTGTTAATTGTTAACATAGCTTGATAATGCGAATCTTGTGACATTTGCACTAATAACAGTATGTGCCACATTAATATTTTGTCAAAACTTGATTTTTCTTGACGGTCAGCACTTCAGTTTGGCTTAAAAAAAAAACACGTTAAAAATACCGGAATACCGGTATTTACCGGTATTCTGATTGCGGTATATCGGTATTCGGTATTTGCGATATCGATCCAGCCTAGTTGATGCAGGATTATTATCTTCTTGCAATAGCTTTATAACTGTAATCAAACTCATCTTCTCATTTTCAAGATCCTTAATTTTAGTGTTTAGATCTGACATGATATACAATACGTTATTGAGTCTATCTTGCAGATTGTCATTATCTTGTTTAAGCCGGCTATTTTCTTGTTCAAATTTATCGTTTTCTTTCTCCAAATTTGACAGGCAATACTTGGCGAGTGCATTTGATCTTTCGGATAGACAATTAAACTCTCTGATTTGTGCAAGTTGATCAGAGAAATTGCCTTTTATTTGCTGAAATTCAGCTCTCAACATATCAATATGTTGATAACTTCAATAACAGAAGTAAATGAGACAGAAACACAATGTGCTTTGGTTTTGTCTGGAGGTTTGTGCCTGCAAGGGGTGGTCTACAATGAGATAGAAAACCAAAGGAAGTTGTAAAATTAACCTCTTAATCAGTTGGAAAGAGACTGACACAAAAACGTTTGTATGATTTGAGGGGACAGGGCTTTAGGATGTGTAGAATGTTCTGGTTATAGAGAAAACTATGTGTTTCATAAAGGTGCTTTATTATCAGCACTCTCCCCTTGACAAACAAGATTGTCTGGTGTTAGACAGAGTAAATAATAAAGTAGGCCGCAATGCAAATTAATGGGTCAGACACAATGTCTTAATGAACTATGTCTTAACTGACCTGCCCAAGTCAAGATATTCTTCAGTCTCAGTTGTTTCTGTTTCATACTGGGAGCCACTTTCATCTTCCAGTTCATCTACTTCCATTTCATATTTGTTGCCATCATCATGTTCCTCATTGTCAGTCGCACTAGCTTGCTCAGCTTCCTCAATTCGTTCTGCACTCTTGGCAGCTGGACATTTACTGAAAGTGCAAATGAATGTATTGGAATATGCTTTTCCAACAGCATTAGCACAACTCCTCCTCAAAGTGGATTTAAGGTTACAGTACACATAGTCATAAAAATAAAAGAAACAGATTCCAAGAAAAGGTCTCTTGAAGCTCAATACATGTATGAACAAACAGCAAACAAGGAATTCGTTTAAGATAAATGAATGACTGGATTATAGTAATACTTCTAATATTGACAGAGGGTTACTGGTATGAAGTTACTAAAGTTACTTATAATCTTACTTTTTCTCCTGTATGTTTTCACTTCCTTACTTCGCCTTGTCACAATCCCCCTCAAAGTTTTAACTTTGTTTGACAGTTTCCTTCTCTCATTCGAAAGTGGTGCACATTCAACACAAGTTGGTGACATATCAGGTTCGTCAGCTGGCCCAGGCTCTAAAGATATATGACCAATCATATGGGTTTCCTCCTCTGAATGACCAACCTCTCAGCTAGTGCCTGGAATGGCTGATAGTTCTACTTCTTTGGAGGTGGTTGTCTCAGCAGTTGGCTTTTCCTGTGAGGATATTGCTTCTTTTATGTTATTTATGTCACATATCAAATTACAACTACAGCAGTCGATCATCGTCTTTTACTGAATAAATTAAAATCACTTAATCTAGCATTATTAACAAAGAATTGGATCATTGACTTCCTGACTGATCGTGAGCAACGTGTTAAACTGACTGAATTATGCTTTTTGGAATGACAATCTGTTTGTATGGGTGTTCCTCAAGGAACCAACATGGTCCGTGGTTATATGCACTAATGATAAACCATCTTAATTAAAACCTCTGGTGTCGACTTGTGGATGATATAATATCTAATGAAATAGTGCGCAAGGCAGCTCCAAGCCAACTTCAGTCTTAAGTGATAAAGGTCTGCATGATTTTGGAAAAAAATATTATTAGCAAATTAGTGCCCCCCCCCCCGGTTGCTACGGCCCTGTATATATGATGCTTGATTAACTGGGGGGGAGTTGAATATTTGGAATATCTAGATCGTCGGAAATGGCACTTTCAGAGTCTTCATTAATTTATATATTGATTATGATTCTGGAGATGCTATGAAATTTTATACTCGGAAAATGTACTTCTTCTCCTCCTGAGATCTTATCGTCTGGGACACAAATAGGGAATAAAAATTACGAGTCCTATAGATCTAATTACGAGAGCTATCATATATTGATTCCCCAAGCTGTCTTAAAAAGTAGGATTCCATGAGAAAAAGTAGGAAAAAGTAGGAAAATCAAGCAATTTTTAATAAAAAATAGGAAAAGTAGGAAAGTTGATGAAGTTGAATGAGGGTAAATGTAAAGAATTTCGCATTGATTTTTCAAGGCGGAATAATGAAACTAGAGTCTTCGATTCCATTTTCGTAAATGGCAAAGAACTTGAAATTGTTAAACATGCAAAGATCCTTGATGTGACTATAAGTAATGATTTGAAATGGAATGCACACATTGAGATAATTGTTTCACATGCAGCCAAGCAAATATATCTGATTACACAACTAAAGCTGGCAAAACTTCCACCGAACAACATTATAAAAATCTACTGTGCCTGCATTCAACCAATTTTGGAATATGTAGCACTGGTGTTTCACAATTAGCTGCTGCAATATCTAAGTCTGGACATTGAACGAGTGCAACAACGATGCTTAAGGATTATTCATCCTGAGGCAATTAAGCAGTGTAATCTTTCAACCCTGTCTGATCGAAGATCAAACATTTGTGAAAAATTGTTTTCACAGACTATGAATGATGTTGACCCATAGATAATGGAAGTAGGATGGATTGGAATGCCGGCATACATCAAAGGTCAATGTTCGCTCACGCGGAAATCTTTGCAAGTTGTGCAAAGATCATTTCCGGTTAAATTGTAGTTTCCAGCGTGGTGCTTTATTTATGGCAGTATAAAGTGTATATCGTCGAATTTTATAACTAGTTCTTTTTCTATGCCAGGAGCAAATTGTTGTATAGTTGATTGTCCAATATATGCTTCAAAAACTAGGTATCCTGCGCTTAGTTTCTTTAAAATACCAAAGGGAATAGTACATGAAGAATGGCGAAGTCAACTTATTCGGATAGTCAATAGAATTGACAATGGCTTCAATCCGGATAATGCATTCATATGTTCTCGTCATTTCAAGGAAAGTTGTTATAAAACAGGTACGTTTGTTGTTAAATGTTGTGACATATTTATGAATAAAGTTAAACCATATATTTTGAGAAAATTGTTAATGTTTATTTAATAGGTAAGGTTTCAACACAGAGAAACCGAATTGTATAATATTTGAATAGATATTCATGCCAAAAGAGTAAAATATATAGCTTTCTTTAAGTATATTTGATAGTCTACTCATCTTTTTATTATGATTCCAAACAATTTAAACGAGTTTTGCCGCCATATATGCTGTGTGTAAATATTTATACAAATATTATACAATTTATATCTCATATATATTGTCTTGTACTTCTGTGCTTTCAAGAGTTATACGAGGGGATATATAATTCTTAACTCTATAGTTTATATTTGTGGAATTGTGGTGACATACAAATGTTATACTTTTATATGACTGTATTCATATTCATTGAAATAGGTGAAAAGGGTCAGAAGCGACTTATTCCAGGTTGCCTCCCGACAGAATATTTGCCGAAAAAAAGTATTGAAAGCAGGAAAGTCCTGCCAAGAAGAACATTGGTTCGAGATTCTTCTGAGACTGAGACAACCTTAGATGTTTATAAATACACTGAACTAAGTGACCTAAAAAAAGACTTTAAACATATCAAGGCCCCATGGACTGTTTTGATTGAAAACAATTTATCCTGTATTTTTGGTTACTTGGCAGAAAATGGAAACATTATTCACAAGGTAACCGTGAACGAAGCCTTAGAATTTGGTGTTGAATCGTCTTCCTTATATTTGCCTGACAACCACAAGATTTATGAAAAGTATAAACGCAGTGTAGCTAAAGTGAGAATTCAGTGGCTTTTGATGGAAATAAAACAACTTACATTATGCAGTGGAATTAGAGACAGTGACTTAGTAAAGAGCATTACAAGTAATGCTGACATTGAAAAGGGTTTTCTATTTTCTATGGATTATGGCACAGCCAATAGGAATGCGGAAAATACTTCCTGCATCAGAAGCTGTGATTGTGAAATTTTGCTAGCAGATACAATTGGAGAAGAGTGTTGTAAGTATTGTAAGCAAGCTGGTGTAAAGTTGGAAAGAAAGGCAAAATCAACTGATATAACTGTTGAAAAAGAACTGCACCCCAACACCCCACTCAGTACAGTTTCCAAAGATAAGCTAATTAAAGAGGTAAAAAACACCCGAAAGAAAGAAAAACAATTAAGGAAAATGGTGAACAATTTAGAAGAAGAGATTCAGCAAAAAGGAACTTGCTTGAATGATGGACTACACAATGACTTTTCAAGTATCATATCTGGCATTGAAAAAGAACTACCAGACGATAGTTTTGAAAAGCTGTTTTGGCAGGAACAGAAAAAGTCTTTTCAGAAAAATCCTAAGGCAGTGAGATGGCATCCAATGATGATAAGGTTTGCTTTGCATATACATCTTAGATCCCCTTCAGCTTACAAAGCCTTAAGAGAAAGCAATGTCGTTAAATTGCCTTGTGAACGAACACTAAGGGATTACACAAACACTGTTCACCCAAGTACTGGCTTTCACAAGGCTGTGTTTGACGATTTGAAGCATCAAGTAGAAAAGCTAAATGACATCCAAAAATATGTTGTTCTTATGCTGGATGAGGTATCAATAAAAGATGATCTTGTATACGACAAAGTAACTGGGGAGTTAGTTGGCTTTGTAAACATCGGCAATGATGTCGATGATTGCCACGTAATTCGAAATAAAGAAGAGAGCATCAAAACAGCAAATGTTGCTACCCATGCTCTTGTTTTCATGGTGACAAGTATTGCATCTCGTTTGAAATTTAGTTTGGGTTACTTTGCAACAACAACAGCTACAGCAGATCAGTTATTTTTGCTCATGTGGAAAGCTGTGGGACTGCTTGAAACATATGCTGGCCTCAAAGTTGTTGTGGTTGTGTCTGATAAAGCTGGCCCAAATCAGCGACTGTACAGCCTTCATGATTCTGGAGATAAAATTACTTATCGAACAAAGAATGTATTTGCAACTCATGAGCAGAGATATATCTACTTTTTTTCTGACCCTCCTCATCTCATTAAAACTGCCAGAAACAACTTGGCCAATTCTGGCTCAGGATCGAACACTAGAAGATTATGGAACAATGGGAAGCATTTACTTTGGAAACACATAGTTGATCTTTATGAGGCTGATCGAAAGAACATGGTGCGAACAATGCCTAAGCTAACAAACGAACATGTTTACCTTACAAGTTACTCAAAGATGAGAGTTAATCTCGCCACACAAGTTCTAAGTGAGACAGTCTCAAATATAATGATGGCTTATTCCTCTTCTGAAACTCAAGAAACAGCTACTTTCTTGTTAATGATGGATAAGTTTTTTGATTGCTGTAATTCAAGACCTGAGATGTCAGGGCAGAAAAGGAAACCTTTCCTAGCCCCATACACGTCAGTGAATGATTCACGGTTCAATTTCTTGAAGGAAACTTTCTTGAATTACTTGGCCAACTGGAAAGCCGCAATAGATGAAAGGAAGGGGAACTTCACAAAAGATGACAAATCAAAAATGTTTCTAAGTTCTCAGACCTATCAAGGTAATCTGTTGTGGTTTGCAACTAAATTATAAAATTATATTATAAGCCCATGTTATTAGTCACAAAACACGATTAGGGTTAATGTTATGATTATATTTATTCCATGTCCAAAATACCCAAATTATAATCCTAGCACTAAGCCACTAACCCTAATCATTTATAACCCTAGCTAATTCTATTTTGTGACTGTAACATGGGCTTATATCCAACAACTGGGAGATTTGTAACTGGGAGATTAACTGGGGTGCTTACCTTTCCTGGAGGGAGTACACTGCACCTCACCACAAGATCCACCCCCGCGAAAAGTGTTTGTTAGCAAGTGTTACTGTTGTGTTTTATTATATCCTGTTTTGCACCATTGTTTTATTACTTTGTTGTTTTACTTGTATGGCAGGTCTGCGATTGACTGTTTACTCACTGGAAGATGTGGTTAAGTTCCTGTTGAATCATGGCTTTGAGTATGTGTTGACCAGCAAGTTTAGTCAAGATTCTCTTGAAGAGCATTTTGGCCGGCACCGACAATCTGCTAGAAGATCTGCAAATCCGTCGCTGCAGACACTCGGAGTTCAAGAAAATAAATTTAGAATACAACGGACTGTGGCAACAAGTATAACACCTAAAGGGAATACGAGAGGCTCCAAGAGACCCAAAGAAGGGATAACCGTGACAACAAGTCCATTGAAGAGGCGGAAAAAAAAGTAGTTACTAGCAGGGCCGCCCAGAAGGAGGTGGAGCAAAGGGGGCAATTTGGGGGCTCCCAGTTATTTTGGGGGGAAGGGCAGTTATTTGGGGGGGGGAATGGCCAGTCATTTTTCTGGCAAAATATTTCTGGTTTTTGGGCAAAATACCATACCAAAATACCATGTAATAAGGAAAGAAATGAAAAAGTTGTGGGGGAGGTGATGAAGGGTCCCCCAAAAAAATCTGCCTTGGGCCCCTGGAAAGCTCTGGGCAGCCCTGTTTTCTAGTTGCCGTAACTGTTCAGTACAGTGTACATTTCTGACAAAATAATATCTGCAAATAAACCAGTGCATAACTTTATATTCTGTTTGGCATCTTACAATGCCTTTACTTTAGTTTCACTATAGTTATAGCATTAAAAGTTTAAAACATTAAAATGAAATAGACTTTTTACGTAATTACATTGTTGAATTAGCAATTAGAATAAAACACAAGTACACATTGATCCATGTATTAATTTCCTTCTTCCGAAAGCTTTAACTTTTTCCTTAGTGCTTTTTTCTTACGTTCGGTTTTGGTGTCTACTCTATAGTTTTCAATAACATACTTTGCATGGGCATAACATCTAACTTTGAGGTAAAAATTTACAAACTTTTCAAGCATTTTAAATTTTTGTTCATGTTCAACAATTTCATGTGCAGTTGCATCAAGAAAATTATTTTGAACTGATACATTCCCCAGTGACTCAGATAGTAAAGAATCTGTACAAATTTGTTTCGAACTAGAATTAATTTTTTGCCTAAAAATACCCTCAATAACTAAGAACATATTAATAATTGATGCCTTAGGGTAAATAAGACCTCCTCGACTTAAAGCTTCAATCAGTTTGGTGGAGGTACTGGTGCTACCCAACCCATCTGACCTTGTTTCCTTGCAGGCATTAAGTATTGTAATGTCTTTATCCACTGTAGCAACATCTTGACCATTACTTGCAATTTTCCTCTTTAACTCGCACAGTTTGGAACCTACATTTTTTAATACCGCACCAGCAATGTATGCAACAGATTCCTGTTCAGCATCTGACAAATCCAAATCATTTACCACAGCAGTAGAATCACATTGTAGATACGTTTTTGCTACAGCCTGTTGTAGATAAAACAGAAACCATGAACAGAAGTCAGATGTAATACCAAGAGCATCAATTATTGACTTCGTAATATTCTCATCGGTCCATATCTTGTTGAATTCCTCCCACATTGCTTCTCTTGCAGTAGTTATAAAACGTGAAGAAAACTTCGTACATGTTTTTTCGAGTCTTTCCTTCAAATCATCTGACGGAAAAGCAGGTAAAGGTTTTTCCAACAAACGACTTATATGATGCCTGTAGAGAGCATTCAACATTTCATTTTTCTTCATCTGAAGTAAAGCATCCTTCGCCAAATCACGTATATCTGCCAGGATGACCTTTTTTTTTCTCGATTTTCTAGCTTTCTTTGGTTTACCCTTCGGCTTTTTGGCTCTTTGTTTTTTCTTAGAATTTGTTTGAGCATCTGTGGTGGCAATTTTCTGGTCGGCAGTTAAAGTTTCGAGACTACATTCAGTGGTTTCACTTGAAGATTTTCCAGTTCGAACTTCGACGTTTTTTTCGTCACAAAATGCGATGGGAAAAGCCTAAATTGATATGTGGTAAAAATAATATGGTAAATAAAAACTGTGAAGTGTAAATTGTGCTAACTTTTACATATTTCCCTCCAACAACAACATGAAATATAAATAATTTTATACATAAAATCACACTGATCAGACTTCGCATGCCAGTGTCAGTGAAAAAATAAATCGCTACACTGACACTGTATTTATTACATCTGAAATGATAAAAGATGTGTAAATTTAGCAGCAAACCTTACCTTCTCAATTTCAGCTTCATCACTTGATAATACATCAATAGTAAAATAACTGAAGTCCATTCTGTTTCTATTTTCTGAGAATTGCCAATATATTTCTTATAAACCGGAAATGTTGCTTGCACAACTTGCATTGTTTGTGGGAAGCCACAAGATATAACCGGAAATGGCTTTGATGTATGCCGGCATTCCAATCCATCCTACTTCCATTATCTATGGTTGACCATAAATGATATAGTTTACTACCAGAAAAGAACATGTCATCATACATTGAAAACGTCTCAAACTTTCTTAGTTTAGCTTTTTAAAATTTAGGATTTTTATAATACTGAATTAGTCATATTCTTTTTCAACTTTCTAACAAAGTAGATACTGTCCATTGTAAAGTCAGATACAATTCAGCCATAATTTAGTGTAAATACACTAAATGTACAGTCAAATGACTGTACATTTCGATCTGTAAATTAAACTATTAAACAATAAATTTATTAAATTTTCATCAACACACTCTGTAAACAAAATACTCGTCTTTAATTAAGTTCTTTACTGTGTGTCAGTTGTGAACTAGATTCAGTTGATTATTAGACAAGTTAAAGATGACATCATTTATGTTTAACACGGTGACTTACGAAGTCAACCCACTTTTTGCATTTTTTTTTTGCTTACGATGACACAGCAACCATATATACAATGATACCCAACAAAACAAGATGCAGGCTGGACCTGTTGAACAAGAGACCAATCCCCCAACTGATTTGGAAAACCTCTCGCCTCCAGAATAAATCGCCAAAACTGCATCTACAGAAGAAAGAGATGAGTTACAAACAAAACTTAGACAAAAAATTTGCAACTTACAACAGCAATTAGGAAGGTCAAAACTATGAACGAAGCCATCAAAGTGTTGGAAGAAAGATCACTGATAAGTTCAAAAGAAGCAGAAAGTCTACAATCAACATTTGAAAATAAACATCTTCAATTTCTGTATAATTTCAAAAACTTAAAGGCATCACCATCAGGAAGGAGATATTCGGATGAAATAAAAGAGTTTGCTGTAACTTTATACTTTTACTCACCGAAAGCATACAAATATGTTAGATCCATTATCCCATTGCCAAACCAATCTTTGATAAGAGAATGGTCAACTTTGTTTAAATGTGACCCAGGCTTTATAGAAGAAGCATTAACATCCCTGTCTGATTTAATCTCTGGTTCACCAATTAACAAGGACTGCTGTTTGGTAATCGATGCGATGTCCATTTGTAAGCAGACACTCTGGGATGCTGAAAAAGATCGGTACTCAGGATTTGTTGATCTTGGTGATGAAATTCATAATGATAAGTCGGCAACACTGGCTTCCGAGGCATTAGTTTTTCTGTTGGTCGAAACGAGAAGTCATTGGTTACGATGAGATGACCACTTCAATTATTCATCCAACTACTGGTGAAGAAGTTTTTATCATTCTTGATCCCTGCCACATGCTTAAACTTGCTCGTAATGCTTTGGCACACCTTGGGACCATTGTTGATGGTGAGGGAAATGCAATAAGGTGGCACCACATTGAGGAACTTCAAAAGTTACAAGAAGCGGAAGGACTGAATCTGGGTAACAAACTTTCTCCAAATCACCTGAAAATTCAAAAACACAAAATGAATGTTAGACTAGCAGTGTAAACATGAAGTTCTTTGGTGGCTAATGCTGTAGAATTCCTGGACAAATCGATGAAGTTGCCCAGTTTTCACGATAGTCATGGTACAGTGATATTTATCTGCACAATCAATCGGTTATTTGACATGCTGAATTCTCGTAACCCAATTGCTAAAGGTTTTAAGACACCCCTTCATCCGAAAAGCAAGGACACATGGGAAGAAATCTTTAAGTCAACAGTAAACTATCTACTGTCATTGAAAACAAGTACACCTACAGGTCAACTACTTTCCACCTCGCAACGTAAAACATTTGTAATTGGATTTGTGGCATGTATCAAATCTACAATTTCCATGGCTGCACAAATGTTTAGTTTACCCACCAATCCTTTCAAGTACTTATTAACTTACAAATTCTCACAGGACCACATCAAACTTCTTTTTTCATGCATACACTCAAGAGGAGGCTGGAATAACAACCCTAATGTGTTACAGTTCAAGTATGCAATTTGAAAGATGTTGATGTGAAATGCCATTACAGCATCGAAATATGCCAACTGTGTGGATTTTACAGGATGGAATAACATTATTCCCATATTCCATACAAGAAAGCACAAAAATCAACCACCAGGAAGCCTCTGCCTCCAACAATGATTCAAGTGACATATTTTCCATGTGTGAACATTTAAACGAAGAAGGGCATAGTGAATTTACCTCGAATGTTCTGTTTTACATCGCAGGGTACATTGTTTCCAAACTAATAAAAACCCTAGTTTGTCCAGCATGCAAAAAGAGCCTTCTTCCTCTGCCAAAACAATTGCCTGCAAATGGACATGACTATACTTCAACCATATATCATGAAGCAGGAAAGGCATCGTCATTTACCACATTTGTCAATAAGGGTAGTTTGCAGATCCCATCGACATCTGTGTTTCGAACAGTCAAATACTGCGAGCACGTTTTCAATGCTACTGTTACGGGTGAAGATGGCAAACAAATAAGCAACGAGGGAAACCTGAAGAAAAAAATTATTGTGAACTTCTTCCAACATTTCACATTGGACTCAACATCTGAGCTGTTCACAGACCATGAAGATGATGACAACAAAATTCTAGTTGACGACCACAGGTCAAATTTAATGAAACGTGTCGCGGACAAATGTTTCACGTTGCGGCTGTTCTGCTTTGGAAAGAAATACGTCAAAGAAATCGTAAATGAAGGGAAACAAAGTGATCAACACTTGTTTAATAAAATTACTTTCTTTAATAATTATTAGGTCTGTAATACTACGTTAAAATAAAGAATTTACTCAATTGTTTTGATAAAATCTTTTAAAGTGTCTGACGCTCGTACAAATTGGTGGATTTGCACATCGTCAAGTTGTTTCGTTAACAGCGTTTGTTTCCTAGCTGATTGGCAACTCCATTCGGCTAAATTTTACTTGGTTGAATTTAAAATTAATTCCATTATAGTCCAAACAAAAAAACTAAAATTTAAAACCATAAAATAAACAACAAATTCCTTTCAAATTCGCTCTGCTTGCACATTGTTGTTGTTCTTCTGAAGACAAACAGCATGTTTCACCCCACTGGGATCTCGCAAGGGAATCGCGAATGAAGCCAAAATTTGTGGGACTTTACCTCCAGACACGTGTGTGTGCAGGTAAAGTCCCGCATATTTTGGCTTCACAAAATTATCAGAAGGTAGCGTTCCAGTTATATTTAGTTCACAAATTGTGACTGAGTCAGTTAACCATCGAGTAAAATTGTGCCACTGTGCAATATAACATTTACTGTAATATTTTGAAATTATATTAATCTTCAAAGTAACCAGTTAAACTAGTTGCATCCCTCATGTTTTGTGCGCAAATATATTTCTCACATCTCACTCATTTCT